CAATAATTCACTTGCACATAGGCGTCTTTACCAGAGGACCCAGAGGAAACCCATGTGGTTACGCAGGTTATCTTACTCCTCGTCACACACAAGTCTGGGATCCAAACCCTGCCACTTGACTCAATGACAGTGACAGAAATGGGGCTTAACGGCCACTCGACACAAACTAGGTCATTTCGGAACAAACATATATACATGTACACGTATAATACAGAGAAGTAAAAAAAAACAATGCAAATGAACAATTAAATGATATTACTACAGAAAGAGTACGCATACACTGCATTATGCATGATTAAAGCCAAGGTTACTTAGTAGACGGAAAATTGAGAAGAGAGGTGTTATCAGGCCTTCTACTCTTCACTGCATTGTCCTTTATTAGATTTTATTTCATTTCATCATATTTTATAATTTCATTTGGTTCGCTACCAGTTTTGTTTCAAGCTTTCAATGAAGCAGAAGACAAAAAATAGAAATGATAATATACGTCTTTTGTCTAAATAGTTCCAGTTGAGTAATTAGTGTACATTTTGTTTTATTCCAGTACATTAAGTTTAATTATTACTGGATAGGATAATTCTCCATCAAAGATGTGAAATGAACAGCTTGTTATCTGTTTCACATCAATCAAGTTTTAATTCAAGTATTGGTATTTTGTTGAAATAGTTACTACAGTATAACAAATCCACAATTAATAATTTCAATGACATTAATTTCATTCTATATTATTTTAACTAAGTAATTTATTGAAATAGAAACTTGTGCTTTCTAGATATCTTAAGAATGCATAATGAAGAAAAATCACTAATTTCTGATAAGGGACCAAAGGGTTTGTAAAAAATATTTAACTTTTAACTAACAATTGTCTCAAAGCAGGGTAAAGAGTGGGTCTACGGGTTGTACAAATTCAAATGAGAGTTTCTTTCCATAATTGACATAACAATGAATTGACAGAGAGGGGAGATAGAAATGGGAGAGGGACTGAGAGATAGAGAGTCTAATGTCCACTCATTTCAATCCATGTCATTTTGGGCTTTATTGATAAATCGCTTGCAGTGGGAGGAAACCTGGGGCCGGTTTCACGAAATTTTAACTAAGATAAAATCCAAATTTTAGTAATTTGATTGGATAATATTAGACTAATTGTAGTGCTTAGCCAATCAAAATTAAATTATCTACAATAATTTGGATTTTATCTTTAGTTAAAATTTTGTGAAACAGGACCCTGAAGACCTGGGCCCTATTTCTCGAAATTTTAACTAAAGATAAAATTCAATTTTAGTAGATACTTCAATTTTGATTGGTTAAGCACTAAAATCAATCTAATATTATCCAACCAAATTACTAAGATTTGGATTTTATCTTAGTTAAAATTTCGTGAAACTGGCCCCAGGAGAAAGGCCAGGAGGTTGGGAAGGAGACTGTTCTCTGTGTCACATACATGTACAAGCTTGGGATCGAAACCATGCCACTTGACTCAATGACAGACCTTATGATCTAAAGTGGAGATGTTAGATTATTAAATCCGTGCAGACTGCACAGTGGATTGTAAACCATAAGCATCATGACTGGTGACTCTCAACACATTGTTAAAGTACAAAATAACATCAAAACTATCAGCTATATGAATTTCTCGAACAAATGAAGATCATCATCAGGGGGAAGTAAGTTTACCCTGCCACTACTTATAGCTAAAGGAGTGTTTGACAACCCAAGAAGTAATGGAGGAAGAGATCCTCTTTAGGCCTTGTAAATATGGAGATAATACTATGTATACTATGAAAAACATCAACTGCAATACTAGTAAATAATTTTCATGTTTAAAGTTTTTGTGTGTCATTTGCATTTTTTGGAAAACTAAATTTTTTCTGTTTCATTACACGAGTGTTTCTAAGCGCATTCACAACAAAAAAGTTCAGTCCTAAAGCTCTGGATGGAAGAGGACTCTCAAAGAGTTTTTGGAAGATCATTCCACATTTTAATTTCTCTGACAGAGACAGCATATTTCCCAGAACGTTTATTATATTAAGGAATCCTCAACATGCTATGATCACTTGAAGAACGAAGGCTGTATCGCCAGGGAGTATAGAAATCAAAGAGTTCTTTTAAATAACTTTATGATCCACACTAGTATGTACTCGAATTGTGTAAATAAAAAACCCCAATAAATCAAGGGTAGATAACCTTTCAAAGTGGCTTCAATCGGATTAAAAGAGGTCATTAACCTGTTAACCGCGTAGGGCGTTATATAACGTCCTGGACAACTGCCACTCACCGTGTGTAGGGCGTAATATAACGCCTTGGAGGTATTTTCCCAAACCTATTCTTCGAACACGATCGCAGCATGTGTAGGACGTTATATTACGCCTGGTCGAGGAAATCTAATTGAAGGGGGACAACTCTATTTACCGTTAGTTTTAATATGGATTCAGTCTACTAAAATTTGTATTCAGGAATAAAAAGGTCCAAAAATGACGTTTTTCGTCAAATTAATTACACAATAGGGGGTAGTTAACGTTTTAAAAACTACGCAGTTAAGGGGTTAAATGATTTAAGAGAAAATCATACATGTAGGTGGCGCTGACATGTCGTCTGCAATGAATCAGTTAATCATATCTTTATAAAAACTGAACGGATTTGAATCAGTCCATCCACTTTTTCTGATCTCTAAATAGTATAACTTTAACCCACTTCAAGAAAATGTTTATCATCACAATAAATGACGTACATGTACGCACGACTCTTCTCTGTAGAAATGAAATGAAATGGGGTTTAACGTCCTACTGTTCTGCTCCGAACTGGGCTAATGAAGACGAGCATACGCTATACAGTGTGCTATGAGGGAAATTTTGCCCGGACATCAGCACTACGGCCTACTCTTATATCGAATTCAAACTGTCAAGGGATCTTTTACGTGCACGCCAATGTGTACACGGGACCTCGGTTTTTTGTCCCATCCGCATGACTAGACAGCTGTCCTTGTCAGGCCCTCCGTCCTGCATCACAGCTATCTTAGTTGATATGGCCCCATAAGAGAATTCCAAAATTGAGATGACAGTTGATGAGAGCAGTAAAAATATTTAGTTTAACATGTACTTGGAAGATGTTTTTCATCCAATGACACTTAGTATACGTCTACAGGTAGAGTCCACATGTGCATCCCAGCTCAAATTTTTATCAATAACAATGACCAGAAATTTAAACTGGTCAACATATCCAATAGCAGTATTATTTATAACCAAATTTGGAATGGGAACATTCCTTCTTTGAAAATTTTGAAATACCATACACTTAGTTTTTGAAATGTTCAAAGATAATCTGTTTTCAGTGAGCCAATTGGAGACTTTAGAAAGTTCAAAATTGATAGCATTGTAATTAGTTTTACTATGGTTTAAAGTTACAATTTCATATTTTCTAAGAAAGTCAAAACATGATTATTTCTATGTATTTTGCTCAATAGGTTGTCAACTCACTATTATATGATCATAGGTGTCATTCTCACACTTAAAACTCATTTACGCTGGAAATAATAACACAATTACCTCCCATGTTTTCCTATTCCCCACCATGGAATAGCGATCTTCAAACATTCGAATTTGAAGTTGAAAATGATATTTTTGCCAATTTGTCAACTGGTAATAGTGAATTATAGGATTAATAGGATTATTCTTTAACAAGGTAGGACTGTTTGTAGATACCATTTATTTTAAGGCTTTATTTTAATACATTTTAAAAATATAACTTAAAAATATGAAATTGTAACTTTAAGATTGCAGAAGTAGATAGCAAAGATGTATCATCTGCACATAGATCAACATTAATTGTCAGATTTGTAAAAGCTTATTGACTTTGTGAACCAACACACCACAGTAATTTCGGTGTGGGTCTGCCTGCCTCAAGAAACTGTCTGTCTAAAGCATCCTACTAACTTCCAGTGAAGTAGCCTGGCTAACTTTACTGTAATCTAAATATAAATCTAAGCTGGCCTACAGGTATCATCATGTGATCTCTATTATTAAGCAATGAACAAATTTAAATATGTACATGTAGCCTATGTCCGGTACTATGATTACAACACCAATGTATGTATGGACAAGCAAATGAAAGATGCAAATATTGAAACTGGCTAACTTGTGCTATCAGTTAGAATTTTGATTTAACAAGGAGTAACTCTGGGATCCTGATTAAATGCCAGGAGGAAGTGAATTGAACTATAATGATGGAGATTTCTGAATGAAGGGGCTTTTTGGAATAGAACTTTTAGCCCACCAAAATTTCGCAAAGGTCCGACTTTTGGGCATGCAACCTACACCTGTCCTTTTAAGTTTTAACCCTGGCCCCCATATCCCTGCTTCATTACTGGCACGAAAATTTTTAGCAAACCAGACATCATTCACAACACATGATGATGAATGAAGAACATATAAATATGAAGGGTGTGTACCCAAGGAAAACACAATTTCTCGAAAAGCTTTACATTGTATAACATCATTCGACAGTTATTTAGGTAGACAATATAAAGCAAGCTGAAAAAAATATAATAAAATAATAATAAAAACTAAATCTCTATTATTTACAAGTAAATAAAATCACCTTTGCAATCGTCTAATGTAAATTCTTGCATGGCTGCAGCCATAATGAAACTGGCAAAACTAGTTGATAAACGTAAGAATTGAAAAGATTTTTGTTTCAGTTGATTTTAAGAAATTTCATTTCGACATTTATATTCCGTAATTGTTTATAATATTTTCAAATAGCAAAAATCGTTTAATAAGGAGTAACGAAAAATAATTAAACTTTATTATTTACGGAAAATTTATCGGTTGGTCTCATTTGTTTGTGAGCTTTAACAGGTTGCATAATATTTAATGAAAAATATAAAAAGAATCAATGAAGTATATAATTTATGTGAGGGTCATTAATATTTGCCAAATAAAGTGATATTTGTAAGTCAAAACGCAATATTTATTAGATCCACAAGACTTTTTATAATAGACTGGTTTGCTTTATTCGGTAAATAGTTACAATCCAAAATTTGTAAAACACGCACCTGCAACTTCCTGTAGAAATTCAACATGCCGTCTTTGGAATCAGAGTAACTATTTTTCGATTTATTGCCATATGGACCATTATTCTTTCATGTTCACGCAATATTTTCACGATTCTTTTATCTTTCAGACCAAAAGGAATCAGTTGGGCAGAACAAGTTGAGGCAGGAGATGAAGGTAAATGAAGAATTAAAATGTCATCGTTATTAATTATTTTTTCATCAGAATCGGATCTCTTTTTTTAATTCAGAGAATGATAATTGACAAAATATAGAAATTCCACCAGCAAATATGTTTAAATCATTGAATTTGGGAATCAAATATGTTATACTAATTTGTTTTCATCATTTTTGTTTTCCGAAGTACCAGTTCAAGTTAATCCAACAAGTTAGATGTTACTCTTTAGTCTTTGATATTCTGAGGACGTAACATCTAACATCCGAACGGTCAAAACCTCGTCGCAAAAGTTGATAACTAGTTTACTTCTTCTAGCGGACGGTAAAATTCACAATTTTCAGTTATCTGCACTGCTAACACAATAAACTTACATATCATATCCATCTATGTTCCGAAAAATATTTTTTGCTGTTTATTTTAAGAGATTTCACAAAAATCTTCGCCTACACACAACAAAACACGGTGAAATAGGAAATGACCTACATTGGTCAAAGTTGAAATCTGGCATGGTGCATATTACGAACATAATTCTTTAAACGAAACGAAATCATGAGACTATAATTTGAAGGCGATCATTTTAAATCTATTTTTAGTGATGGTCCGATTATCGGTTTCACTATGCAGTAGCCTAATTGGCCGATGAGTGGCCTATCAGAAGAAATTTTACCGATATTTGCGTAGCTGATATCTGTTCAAAATGACTCGGCCAGCCAATAAATCTTTTCATAGAATATTATTCAAATTGTGAACAAAGCATTCTTTTTAGTCGCTTACTTAAAATGGCACTCAACCCTTTTATTTTAGTTGCCGTGTGTGTGATACAAGACTCGATGCTTTATTATAGATATTTTTAACGATAGAAAAAGCGGGAAAATGTCACGTGACATTGGCAAGACAGAAGCTATCATAATCAACCGGTAGCGATGAAACATTCTACGAACGCCGACAAATTTAAGGATTTATATTGTAATGAACATTTAATAACATTTTATAAATAATAATCTCAAGCATACCACCTATGCTAGAATTTACCACGGCATAACGGCAAAAATGTTGTAAAAAGTAAAAGCTGAAGCAAACACGGACTGCCACGGTAATAAAAATAGCTCAAATTGCGACGTTGTCCACGTGTACACGTATCAAAAAGTTATGCCTTTTATATACATGTAGACGTATGAAATGCATAGGTAATAACTTTTCAATATATCATAGAGTCATCCAGGGGCGGCTGGGCTTGGGATTAGGTCAATAATTCAGAAATGCAAGATTTAGTTGTAAATAGTGTCCTAAGCACATACCCTTAATAGTTCATTTTTTCATAAGAATGCTCACTTTCTAAAATAGTGCCCTTATTATAGAAGGTTATGACATGATGGCAACCATTGGGAACACGAATAACTAAAGGATCGAAAGGAAAAAAAAATTTGATGACTTTATTACTCCAAGAGGAATCTGTAAATTTTATACTTATGACAGTACCACCAAAAGCAATTAGAACCAGATTAATTGACATGGAAAATCATTGCACGGGCCGTTTGTCTATCTACAAATATAAAAATTGCACGTTCAGTGACGGAAATGACAACAGTACATAATTTGTTAAATATGAAGAAAGGCAGCTGTGCCTTATAATTGTCAGCTAATTTTTGTTACGGCATTTGTAAATTTTTGGTGCCATTGTAGAAGAATCCTCATTTCAAGCACTGGTCATGATCTAGGCATACTACTACTAATTAATCATGCAACAAATAATTATTAAGTTCCCAATAGACGTTGTGTATTTTCAACTACGTGTGAAGAGCGACCTAATTATTCTTCAATAAACATCGTCTTCTATCCCGATATAAAACCTCTACAAAACAGTAAATATACGCCATTCATAAAAATATTGTACAAAAATGCATTTCGTTTCGCGTAAAACAGGGATCCTCAAATTTTAATGTGGAGGATATGACGTCAAAAAAAGGTCAAACTATCCCAACATGGCGACTGAAAGAAATGCTGGTGTTTGTCAGTAAGTGTTATTGTTGTTCAGAGGTGGATAACACAATAAGGGGATCACGTGGCTAAGTGGGTAAGACGCTAGCTCGCTAGCCTGGAGGTCGGATGTTCGATCCCTGCATTGGCCGAGAAAGTTCATCCAGATTTTCCGGCGTGGTTCTCCCTTGTCAGTGATGCAGGACGGAGGGGCTGACAAGGAAAGCTGTCTAGTCGTTCGGATGGGACGAAAAACCGAGGTCCCGTGTACACATTGGCGTGCACGTAAAAGATCCCTTGGCAGTTGGAATTCGATATAAGAGTAGGCCGTAGTGCCGCTGTCCGGGCAAAAATTTCCCTCATAGCACACTGTATGGCGTATGCCCGTCTTCATTAGCCCAGGTTAGGAGCAGAAAAGTAGGACGTTAAACTCCATTTCATTTCATTTCATTGGATAACACAATAAGGTAGGACATGCATTTAGAATTTATCGACTGACGCCTTTCAGCTCGTGGCTATCTGATGCGCCAACAATTCGGTGGCTCATTGCTCTAAGAAAGGACGGCTTCAAGAACCGAGAGATTACGTGTGAACGAAACCTCGAGGCACCCTGGAGTACAGTTCAAGTGCCCAGTGGTAACAAATGTGTTTTATTTCTGTTGTATAATACGTCATACAATACAAACGCAATAAATTTATGTTCATGTCTTAAATATTATATCCTGCTTTATTGACCAGGTTCCCTGCCTCCAAGCTCAGAAGATTATGATGAAAAAAATGGAATTAAAACTATAACAGAGTATAAATATAATGATGAAAATAAATTAATTAAAGTAAGTTAAAAACTGATGGGTAATTTCCTATGTTGCAGGGATATAAATATGTGGTGAGTTGTTGGATTGTTCGTGTTTCTAGGATCGCCTAGATTGTTCTGTCCTGTGGATTTCATGCCTGGGGGCACAGGGTCGATTCTGTCACACCTACAATATATGATGATTTTCATAATTTTGACAAGCATGAAAGCCGTATGCTCCAACTGGAATAATGAAGACAGCCATACAGTGTCCTGTGAAGGAAAGTTTGCCCTGACAGTGGTGCTATGGCCTACATTTATATCAAATTCCAATTGCCAAGAGTTATTTTACATGCACAGCAATGATAGGACCCATCCGAATGACTATTTGCTGTCTCTTGTGAGGCCGTCCGTCTTGCACCACTGACAAGGGGGACCACACCAAAAAATTCAGATTAACTTTCTTAGCCAATGCATGGCCAATGCCAGGATCAAACACAGAATCTTCAATCTAGCAAGTCAACGTCATACTCACTGAGCCACCATGACTCCTGGAAACAGTATATTGTGTCTTTTGTAAAACAGTCATATTACATAACGAAACTAAAGTTATTCAATACAATAAACTAAATCCTATTAGAGAACGACACTGAAACCATGTAACGTTTATAATGAACAGTGGTATAGCTAGTTCTTAGAATGAAATCTTTATTTTATGTGATTTTATATATTTCAGGTTGTTAAAACATATAAAGTTGAAGTAAGACGAGTTTCTAAATCTATTGCCAGAAGAAAAGTAAGTTTTGTGTACGATCACTGTATTCATATTCTAATTAATATCATGTGAGTTATTCTGTATTTATTCATATAGAGGGGTTCAGTGGCCGAATGGTTAACGCGTATACGTTGGATCAGAAGGTCAATCATTAAGTCAGGTGACATGGTTTCCATTCCCCGCTTGTACATGACAAGGAAAAGAGTCCCACTGCTGAAGACCCCTACACGCAAGAGTAGTATTGAAATAAAATTAAACCATATATTAGACCCGAAATGACCTAGTTTGTGTTGAGTGGACGTTAAACCCCATTTCTTTCTTTTGGATTGTCCAGTCTGGTTTCCTCTTGTCAGTGTAGCAAAACGAAATGCCTTTGCAAGGAAAATCATGTCGTTTGGATGAGACAAAAAAATCCTGTATATACTATTGACAGCATGTTATTATTAAAGATCCCCTGACAGTTCGAGGCTGTAGTTCTGTTGCCAGGACAAAATTTTGCTAATTATTTCACATTGACATTGCATGGTGTATGCCCATTGCCCATCTTCATTTTCCTAGTTGGTGCAGAAAAGTAAAACATACCACAACCCCCCGCCCCCAGCCTTTGGATTTAATTTCCTACTGCTAGTAAGTATTTATGAAATGATTATTAAACCTGACTAATGCATTGATATTTTAACCTACAGAATTGGAAGAAATATGGTTTGGCAGAGAGAGATCCACCGGGTCCTAATCCAGCTAATACTATTATTTCAGAGGAAATTATGATGCAGTTTATTAACAGTAAAGACGTAAGAAAGCTGTTTTATTTAATCTATTTACCCAGTGCTAAATGTTGTTTAAATAAGTAAAACTGAGTACTGCAACTTGTCCGGAAACCTGGTATCACTCCATTATCAACATTCCATTTGATGGATACATGGGGTGTCTTGGGGGTCAGATGCTTCTGATCACAGGCCTGTCATTGAGTCAATCAATCAGATCAGTAATTTCAACCCAAGCCTTTTACATGATATAAACTAGGATCGCCTGTCTAACCCCATGAATAAGCAAATCATTAGACTATAGCTATTTATTTGATTTTATTAAACTAAAGAATACAATATGCAGTGAGTGTACTCACAGATTAGTTGTATAATTTTGCTGGCATAAACCCAGTAAAGAACTAGCTAGCAAAAAATCCCTGAGTTTCAGATAAAAATAAGATAAAGATAAGTTAAAAATAACTTGGGGAGGGGGGGGTGGATGGCCGAATGGTAAGTGCGTGCGTGCTGCTTCATAAGATCTGTCATTGAGTCAACTGGCGTGGTTTCGATTCCCTGGTTGTATGTGACCAGGAGTAGGGTCACCTGTCCAACCTCTTGGGTTTTTTTTGGGTCCACCGGTTTCCTCCCACTGTGAAAGACCCCTACACACAGGCAAATTATTAAAGTAAAAATTGAACCATGTGTTAGTCCCGAAATGATCTACTTTGTGTCAAGTGGACGTTTAACCCCATTTCTCTCTCTTATCGTAATTATGTTATTTGAGGGAATCATTTCGTGGATCTTTTCATTTACAGCAACAACCAGAGAAAGAAGAGGATCCATTGGCTAAACTTAAAAATCAAAAAATTGTTCAGTGTCGTATTTGTAAAGGTGATCATTGGACAACTAAATGTCCATATAAGGACACCTTAGCTCCATTACAAGAACAGCTGACAGAAGATCCTAATAAGAAGTTGGCTGGAGAGAGTACCGGTGCTTTACAAGCCCCATCATCATCGGCACCAAAAACAGGCAAATATATTCCTCCTAGTCTTCGTGAGGGTGCCAATAAAGGTCGTGGGGAGACGATGGCTCAAGGAAGAAAAGGTAAGATTTTATTTACTGATCCATAAAATATTTTATCATGTTTATGAAAATTGTTATCAACAAATTTTTAGTGGGTCATGGTAGGGGGCAGGTTTAGAGGATTCTTGTGGATGGATACAACCTGGTGTCTGAAATTGCATTACAGGAACTATGTCTTAGAGTTTGAAATTTTAAAACGTTTGATCTTTAAGTTACTTGAATTTCTCAGGTTATCAGTCCATAATGGCTGAATCTATTTGTTAAGGCCAGCTCAATTTTTGTCAAGGTCGTTGATATGTAAATATAGGTTAGGGCACGTGAGTGTTGGTGAGATTGTAGGTTCGGATAAGCATTAGGGTTGGGATTAGCACTAGCCCTGTTTACATCTATGACGAAAAATTGATCTGGCCTTATCATTTAGCACTAACTGTCCATAATGGTGTTTCCATTTTGTATAAATTTTGAAATGTTGCAAAATAAGAGCTACATGAATTGCCCAAAAATAATATTTCCAAAGTAGTCCTTTTCTCTTCATACGGCTTCATAACAGAGACCCCAATGCACAAGCTAATTATTGAAACAATTGTTAGTCCCAAAATGACATGGTTTGTGTCAAGTGGACGTTGAACCCCATTTCGCTCATTGTTTGTGTCAAGTGGATAGTCTCTTTCGCTCTCCTATAATTAATAGCCAATATTAGATAAATTTACCTTTATGTTGCAGATGAAGCTGCTACCATTCGAGTTACTAATTTATCTGAAGAGACGAGGGAAACTGATTTACAAGAATTATTTCGACCGTTTGGACCTATTTCTCGTATTTACCTGGCTAAAGATAAACTCACTGGACAGAGTAAAGTAAGTATACAAGTTTCATTGTTTTTTGGGGGAAGATTGGGACAAGTGGTGTGGTTGCTGGGTTGAAAGCCAGAATATACAAGACTCTGGGTTGACATTGACAACCAGATTCTGGGTTGACAACCAAGATTATACAAGACTCTGGGTTGACAACAAGATTATACAAGACTGAGTTGCCATTGACAACCAGATTATACAAGGCACTAGGTTGACGTTGACAACCAGATTCTAGGTTGACAACTGAGATTATGCAATACCCTGGGTTGACAACCAGATTATACAAGACTGAGTTGCCGTTGACAACCAGCTTATACAAGACGCTGGGTTGACATTGACAGCAAAGATTATACAAAACTCTGGGCTGACATTGACAATATATTCTGGGTTGACAATGAGATACAAAAGACTCTGGGTTGACAACCAGATTACACAAGGAATCTACGTTGACAGTCAGATAAATCTTTGTTTAGATGTATAATATTGCATTGAAGAGGATCTATGTATAGATAGGTGGGGTATGTACATGTAGCTAGACTGAGGTTATACCCCACTGTTGTGATAAGTACTAATGTTCACTGCCAACCATGTTAGTTTACAGTATTGGTTCCAGCCAATCCTGTGTGCAAGTTTTAAAAATGGTTCCAAGATGGCCACATTTGAGGTGGAGGGTTTAAACCCCTGATGTTTTTGCCTTTCTGTACCTGACTTACAGTTTTCATACCTGTAATTGCTTATTTCAGGGTTTTGCATTCATCAATTTTCACCGTCGTGAAGATGCTGCAAGGGCTATAGCAGGTGTATCTGGGTTTGGATACGATCATCTTATTCTTAATGTGGAATGGGCCAAGTAAGTTAACATTTAACTAATCATATATTCAACTAACATCTGTTTTTACTAGGTTACTAACAGACCGGACAGACGACCATAACGTAGACATCTGAACTCTTATGGGTTCAAGTTGTACGTGACAAGGAATAGGGTCGTCTGTCCAATCTTGTAGGTTTTCTCTGACTGCTAAAGACCCCTACGCGCAAGCGAATTATTGAAATGCCCCTTAAAGATGCATTATGTAAGGTTTAGATAAAAAGTTGCTGGTTCTTGATATAATAGTTCAGAAGTAAAGAATAAAAAATGAATATATTCAAAATTTCAGTTAAATTAATTTTCTCTGTGTGAAGTTTTTAGTTTTTGAAGGTTTTAGCGTAGATTGTTTATTATCGTACATGTAGCTACGGTACTTGACAATCAAGACTAATTTATCGTTGCGCATTTAAATGGCTGTTGTAATCTAATCTACTTAAAATCAGAGCCATCTTATGGCTTAGAGAGTTGGTTATGGACTTCTCATGTTAATGAATATTTCAATAATAATTTATATAACATTTGAAGCCAGAAAAAGATCTGCAATGGGCAGATTTAGCTCTTACATAATGCATCTTTAATATAATGTTTAAAATATTTGTATCCTAATACGACATTAAAATTAATGGAATGTTTAAAATGTATATATCCTAATACGTCATTAATGGTTAAAATGTTTGTTTTCTAATACGACATTAAGTTTAATTTAAGTTAGTGTCATATATAGAATCATGTAGAATATTAATGTAGTCAGAGAGAGAGAGGATAAATAACACATGGATATGAATATATTGATTTCTCAATTTATTAACATATTAATTGTCTCCCGCCTTTCGAAGACTTTTAAAATGGGTTCATCCGTCCGTCACACTTTTTGGGACAAGATTCATTATATCATTACCTTGACTAAGCCTAAGAAGCGGTAAGCAATTTGATTGGTCAAAACTTTGGAACATAACAACTCTGCTTTTAATTGAGGTAGAATGTTTAAACTTAATGTTCATTAGGTGAATGCCTTCGACCTCTAGCTGACCGGTCACCTCTGCCTTGCGGCTGTGGTTTCGATCCCTGGTGTGAGCGTATGCGGCTTGGAGATAGAGCGCCTTCTCAACCTCATGGGTTTACTCCGGTTTCCTCCCACAGGAAAGACCCCTGCGCGTGGCTAAGATAATAAAAATAAAAAATAAATAAGACTTGTCTACGATATCACCTTCGGTTGAAGCAGACGTTAAACACTAAGAACAACAACAACTGAGTTCAATTATTAACATTTCACGCTAAAGCTAGAGAGTGATGAAACTTAGTGTATAGTTGATAATCAGTTTAATTGCTTGATACTTTTGACAAAGATAAACGTGCAATTAATTAATATGTGTCATCTATTTATTTTGGGATTTCAGCAGGGGACATCAATCTCACTGTTGGCTTGTTAATATGTGTCATCTATTTATTTCGATATTTCAGCGGGGGACATCAGTTTCACTGTTAGCTTGTTAATATGTGTCAGCGGGGGACATCAGTTTCACACATACAGGAAAACATTGTCATGGCATAATTAACAAGTGAAAATATAAAGAAAATACAAAATTTCCCTCAGTAGGATGTTAAATTTTATTTCATACATTAATAACCTAATTTTAAAAGAGTTACTCTTTTTTCTTTATTTCAGGCCTTCTGGGAATCAGTAGTTAAAACTGTAGAAATTAAAGAAAAAAATTAAAATATGTATAATAATGGTCTAATTAAATCAGATATATGGGATATTGTTGTGTTCACTTGTTTTTGGATGATAATGACAGTATTCTTACCAGCATGACAAAACACTGTGATTAGTAATGTTTTTGTCAAGCTTTTTGATAAAGGATGCTAATTTACAAATTACTACCCCATCTGAAATTGGAAACTGGTTATCTCATTCCTGCTTTCTATCTGAAAATTATCTATACACTAGCAAGAAAAACAAAGGGAGAATCAGGGCCCAGTACAATCTGTTTCACAGAGCATTACGAAAGTCTTGTAATATCTCTGTAAAAGATGACTACCTTCACCACGTGAAGTCTCATCACGTGGCATCAATCATTGGCTCAATGGCGCGTACATTGTTTACATAAGATTAAGACGTTCTAGTTCGGGCAGAATGGGGTCTTTTACTCATTTTAATACCCATTTACACTAAAAAGGAAATAATTTTTACCTACAAATACGTCAAACGTCTTTATTTATTTTTCTAATACATAAAAAAATGTTTTAGAATTTAATTTGTCGGAGGAAAAAAGTTATTATTTCTGGCTCATTAAGTTGCATCGATGGTATCCTTTTCAGTGATTGTAGCGGCCTTGTGAAAATTCACTGCTGATCAGTGTGGGCCCAGTTCCTATACACCAGTAAAAGTAAGACAACCCAGGGAGAGTCACTGAAAGCTGGAATAATCCCCAATTTTTGTCAGTTTCCGAACTTTCAATGGGTTGGAGCTTTGAGATGTTTCACACAGGTTTTTTTTCTTAAAACACCTTACTTAATTCCTTTTATATTTAAACCTAAACATTGTCGCATGTATCCAAAAAATGAAGATGCGTGTTCAGGTTAATGTGGTCTCACGACTTTGGACATAAATTCTCGAAAAGTTGGTCTACATTCTTGGAAAGGATTCAACTTTTGACAAGTGAATATGGTGAATTATGGCAGGGATGGAATCTGTGTGAATATTCTAAAAAAAAAACCTGGGGCAAAAGCAACAAATGGCAAAATAGCAGTTCTGCCTTTCTGAATTACTCTTTGCAGTCAACAAATAGCCACCACAAAAAAAGTTTGGAGAAAGAGTTGGACACATCAGTTGGTTAAGTTTGAAAGACAATGAAAATTAGAATGATTAAAACCCATTCATGAAGGAAGTCTGCCTTAGAGAAACGATAAATTGACCCACATATCTGTGTTATGAAATAATGATAAAATACAAGGTAACAACAAAATTTCTGTTGAAGTACAGTCTTTATTTTTATAGAAAAAAAGTATAAAATCTACTAGTCAGTCAACAAACTATTTTATAATGATAAACATATAATAAAACAACAAATGAACACCATATTCTTAGTCCTAATTATTATGATCTTCAAATATTTATTTATTAGATCTACAAAAGGTTGCTGGTCTCCTCCCACTGCTAAAGACCCTTAGGCACAAGTGAATTATTGAAATAATATTGAACCATATGTTAGTCCCGAAATGACCTAGTTTGTGTCAAGTGGACGTTAAACCCCATTTCTCTCTCTCTCTACAAAAGGTTGAGCATTATGATCATGAATACATTATGGATTAAGACTATACTAGTACTGTTGGATCGGTATACATATGCAAGTGGTGTATTTTAACAGTTCTCTATACCTTCGAAGAAACATTTAGGTAAAATACACTTTCTTGAGCAATCACATCATAAATGGCAATAATTACAGATTTCCTGATATTTAGAAAAAGGAAAACAATTTGATCAATAATCATATAATATTTAAAACATTATGGCAAATAAATATTATAATAGATGAATTTTATTCCAGGTATAAAGTTTATACATGTAGCCTAATAGAATTCATCTACTATAAACTAAATCTAAAGGATGGGTTTGTTTCACACGTCTTTACTTGCTTCAAAAAGTTCCTTGTTTGAAAATTGTGTTCCATCTCCAATCAAAGGGGAACTAATAAACGGGCAAAGCCAGCAATATTTCCAATTTCTCCCAAAAGCAATCATGATATTCTTCTTCCAACCCAGATCGAAAGTTTTAATATCGTAGGTATTCTCTTTCACAGTTTGTCCACCAACAATATTACGCATATGATAAATAAGTAAAGCCGAGACAAGTAAAAATGTTACTAAACACATAGATGTCATAAAAGCAGATGTAATTGTGTAAGTTTCTGAGAAATTGCACAACCAGGCTATTAAGGGTAAAACCATCAAAATTAAAGACTTCGCACTGAAACCATCCAACGTTATATAGGCATAGTCAAAGTTCATGATGTTTGCGTAGAGGGTCGCAATCCACATATATCCCAACATGTGCATGTAAAATCTCAGATTGGCAAAGCCCACACAATTTCCTGTAAATTGACAATGATGATCACGTTTCAAGATGCACTTGTTACACAGTGAACAGTGGTAGGCACGGGGCGGTGCATTACACTCGCAAACAGCACAGAATTTCCAGCCTTCCTTTAAAACAATGGGTAGCATAAGTCCAGCACTTCCAGTTTCGGTCATTATAAGTCTATACATATTACCCATACAATTAAAGTAAAGAATGCCTATAAAAGTTAGATGAATATAGTAAGTATAATCCCAACCATCACGGTAAACAAACGGTAAAATAACAAAGATTTCGAAGTAGGCTGCGCAATGACCCAAAAATAAAAATATTATCAACGAAACGCCATCGGTTTTAGTCTTGGGAAGAAATTTTCTTAGTTGCGTAAAATCCATCTTGATGTGTAGAATAGTGGCTCTATTCAAATGATACTTTTCACCAGTTTTCCAACCAAAAACTATAATTTCGCAAGAATCGGCAGGACTTTTTACGTTTTGTACTTCCTAACATTAAAAACCAACCCAAGGGGAGTAATGCAGAAATCTTTGGAGGCAGACCACCATTAATTTCCCCATTGACTTCAATGTTAATTCTGGCCTCTTTGCCCACCTCCAACTTTTCCCCAAATTTTCGTTGGGCTGAATGCTTTTCACTACAGACAGAGGAACAAATGGTCATGTCTTTGCACTAAAATTTGTATGAGGTTGACCACCAAAATTTTGAGATACACAAACTTGAAGAAGCATACTAAAAGCATGTAACTAGTTGCCGTACATATCGCCGAAGCCAACCTGATAACCCTGTTATCCTTCCGCCTCAAAATCATGAATATTTACCAAAACCTGGCAGAAAATGTTAATTCAAACCCTCTTCGTCCATTCTAGACCAAAAAATCAACAAAAATGGGCATGCAAAAGGGGAGAAAAGAGAGAGAGAGAGAGAATTGCTATAAATAGCCGAACTGGGCACCGAGATGGTGAAATTTAATGGTGGTCTGCCTCCCTTTGCAGTCAGGTCTGACTAGCAATTATTTTCCATTGACGTCAATGTTAAATGGCTGTAACATCACGGCTGTAGCTTTTTTTGCTCAACAATCCGTTTGTTCCAATCTTCATAGGCACACAGTGGGTCGCATTTGGCACCCACATCATACTTTTTTTAGGTGGGGCGCGGTGCGTTTAGATTTTTGCTAGGAGGGTTTGATGTTGACTTGGGTCAAAATATAACTTCCGACGCAGTGATTGCTCTGCACTAGGAGTATTAGGCTCTGCATAATAACACTTTACACCTCCAATCCCACGCTGTAATATCATCAATACCCCCAATCCATCCGCTGTAATATCCGTATTAACCAAAACTGCTTAAAATTGCAAATTTGATCCCTTGTCTCAAATTCTATACCGAAAAGTCAACCAAAAAATGCAGGAAAACGGGAGAAAAAATTAAGGGAAAAATTGTCTATATAGTATTCGTCCATTAGGACCTCATCAAAATTATCAAACGGCTTATATTTAGGAGCGATGTTGAATTTTTTTTTTCTTAATGTTATACTTAATCCGTCGGTCACCTGGTTGTTCATTGTATCTGTAATACAGGTAGTGCAAGTGGTTGACAGTTTTTTGTTTTTGTTTTAAGAAAAACAAAGTAGCACATAGATTTTTCGACAAATAATGATAGTCGCATGAGATAGGAATGTAAATAGAAGTCTGTCGGACTAGCCTTTCAACAACAACTTGCTTGTCGGGCTAATTTTCGTAGAAACAATTGTCTGCGATATCACCTGCAATGGAAGTGGGCGTTCAGCCGTAAGAACGAACGAAATGGGATTTAACGTCCTACTGGGCTAATGAAGACAGAGAGAGAGGAATGGGGTTTAACGTCCACTCGACACAAACTAGGTCATTTCGGGAATAACACGTGGTTTAATTTTATGTCAATAATTCGCTTGCGCGTAGGGGTCTTTAGCAGTGGGAGGAAACCGCAGGACCCGGAGAAAACCCACGAGGTTTAATGAAGACGGACATACCCATGAGCGAAATTTTGCCCGGCCAGCGGCACTTCGGCACACTTATTTCGAATTCCAACCATCAAGGATTCTTTCACGTGCACGCTAATATGTACACGGGACCGCGTACCATCCGAACGACTAGACAGCGTTGCTTGTTTACAATTAAATTGGAGGCGTATAAAAATGTTAATTGTTGAATATTGCAGTACCAAATCTGAAGTTTCAAAACCCTCTAAACTTTGTATTTACTCAATAAAGTTTGTCTACACAATTGTGTGCTTCCGGATGTTGCAACTGGCTTATACTAAAATGGTATTTGGTAGAACATCATCCCATTTTGGATTCAATTCTTTACTTTCAAGATATTTTGTGTTGGTATTTATTGCAGGTCAGGGTTGCAGTATATAGGGGATTGGATTTGGTATGTAAAAAATGAATGAGGTATAACGTCCCACTTTTCTGCACTTTAATAAATTTAGAATTATTGTCACCAAACACGCCCTGGCAAAGTTTGTAGAATCGGATGCGGCTCACTTGAAAATTATGGTCAACTTTAATTATGTTTTTGTTTATCTTCATTAAAATCTATTTTTCTTCTTTGAGCGGCATTTAGCAATTGACACACGTAATACAAAAAACATAATATGAAACACAATTACTATTTTATTTAAAGCGAC